TATACGCAGTTTGTCCTGCAGTAGATAACCATAGTTTAGAGAAAATGTATTTTACACTTTATACCCTACTAAAGGCTTTTCTATTCTACATGCATATAGTTATGTCTAAATATCATAACACCTGCTAACTCTCAGGGCATAAAAACTCTCTCTCAAATGCTTTCATTGAGCTTTAAATCTGTCTGAATAAAACATGTTATAACAAGTACCCTTTGTACACAAAACAGTAGACTATGAAATCTTTTAAAGAAGAAATGTACATAAGATTCAGAGAATACAAATACTGTTTACACATATGTTGTTGAAATAATTTTATGTAAATAATCCACACTGGGAGAATTCATAATGTTTGAAACAAGAGTTAAACAATGGATATTTTTTACAAAGGAGCAAGCACAACACCTCTAAAACCAGAATTTGTTAATGCTGAAAGGACTTTTTGTTGAAAAATCATGATCTACATTTACGGACATTTTGCAGGTCTCTGCTTGTTTGTATTCATGACAATACAGCTCCTCCTACACACCTCATGCAGGCAGTGCTCCCCACAGACCAAACTTAGCTTTTTTTTTTTAAAGCCTAGAACAGGAGCAGTTCCACCAACTTCAGCAGAGATAACCTTGGTTGAAATAAAGAACAAGGGAAAGAAAGACCTATTGGGACTTTAGATACTAGCCATACACATACAGTTCAGAACTGATAGAAATGGTCATGGTCATCCCTGTTTCCAGGGAAAAAAACCTAGGATGACTACTGTATTTTATTTGATGTTCAGCTTTTAAATATATACAACCTAGCTTCACATCTTTATTAGCATTTTACAGCAATAACAACTCCATTTTCAAGAGGATCCAGCAAAAATGTCTTTCCACCTATTCCCCTAATTACTTTCCACATAAATCATAAACTTCACTATACTTTGCCTCTTCCAAAATAAAAGTTTAGTAACATGCTAACCTACCAGATTTGTTTTATGTTTTCAGATAAAGGCATCTCAAAAGCACAAAACCATGTAATCCTTCCTGTGAAGAATTGTGGAATTATGATTTGCAATGAGACCCAAGTCTAAGGATTTTTTAGCATCTCCGCTCTTTCCAATTGCTTGGTGTTCTTTTCACATGCATAGGAATGTGTTTTTTAACTGATGATATTTAAAAAACCACAATGCAGCCTATTATAATATTCTCTCATATAATGTAACAAACTATCTGTAAGAATGAACTAACACTTGAAAATGCAAGGGGAAAAATAACCAAGAGGCAGGCTCATTTATTAATTGCAGCTGGGATGAAGATGGGTGACATATCCTAAGCAATTACTGCAACAGATTTTACTTGCTTTATGTATTAATGAAAAGAAATGGCTTTTTCAATTTATAAGGTGTCAGTGTTAACAAAAGGATTGAATTTGCATGCATGCCTCCCAAAAGTACCACAAATGAAGTAAAGAGTGACTTCTAATTGGCAATTGTATTGGCTTCATCAACCCAACAGCTACATTCTGACCTAACTTGCAAAGTTCTTACAGCAGTTGTTATTATTTTGCTTACAAGTTGACATAATGTTTCCTTCCTCAGATTATTTTAAAGCTGGTCAGGCAGCTTGCAACGATATATATGTAACAGTCCTAAATAACTGTCAATAAAAATTCAGCTTAATGAATTTCCCTCAGCTTTGAATAAGAACTGTAACATAGTGCCACAGCATGTCAGCAAGCACTCTTGGAACAACCCGCCTTTCCTGGTGCTTACGGACAAGAAAAAAAGATGCACCTCTGACTCCTGTATCCTAGCTCAAAATACACAAGAACAAGTTAAGTCTGTAGTAATCAACATTTCTTAGGAAATGTTTTATTTGCAAGAAAGCATTTGGCCTCCAAGTTGACAGGTATACAAACAAACCTGCCATAAATATTTGGGTATCTTATCTAATAAGTGAATCAATGCAAGAATGCCTCAAGAACTCCATCTACAGTAGCTAATGAAGACCAGCCATGCAGAATCTGCTATCCACGACAATGCCAGAAATTCTTCAAACCTGGAGATAGTGTTGCTGTTATGGGGACATCTATCAGTTTTTTACTCTTCTCTAGAGATAAGTTTAGGTCATAATAGTCAGCCAGTGTAGTACTAATTGCTATACTGCTGTGTCCATATTTATTTACATGCAAAGTAATGACTTCTAGTTACTTGACTGGACATTATGCAACATTTTAATGCACATTTTTTCACTTTACACACAAAATCTGACTACAGAAGACTGGGTACAGGTGCTTGGCTGACATATTTAACACTCTGTTTTGCCTCCTGTGCCTGATTCTTTTCACAGGAATAACATGGGAAGCCACTCTGGTTTTGGTGGCAACACAACACCACAGACTAAAGATGGAATTCTCTCTCATTCATGTTGTGAGACTTCTATGTATGGATAACTGGCAAGTGAGAGCTAAAAAAGAAAACTGCTCAATGAAATGATTTTGAACGTACATATGAAGTGCACAGGCCAAAAGACAGAACTTTCAAACAGCAGAAAAAAAGAGAGTTGTAATGTCTAAGTAAGGAAAACAGCACAAAAAAGGAAGCCATGCAGCTGCGTAAGAAAGAACTGCATTTTTCACACAGCTGTTGAAACCTACAACCTCAAAAATACTGAGGTGCTTAACTCCAGTAATGTCAATGCAAGTTAGGTACCTAAGTGCCATCGTAAATCAGGGCCCAACATCCCAGTCCTGTGAGAAATTGCATATCCTTTGGAAATTGCATTTCCGTCAAAGCCCACTGAACTTCAGAGTGACTTAGCACCTTGCAGAAGGTAGTTTGGGCCTCTCAGAGCCAAAATGCTCTTGGTTTTTCGAGGCTGAACATTGCCCCATGATGTTCTCCTAATGACTGCATAACGCATCACCTTCTTATTCTACACAGACGCCAAAAAGTTCATGTATTATTGGTAGATAATGTGCAACTACAGGTAAAATAAGATAACACCTTCATAGACCGTAGGAAACATCACAAAGGTGAACCACAATGAGAAATACAGTGCAGGACATTTTTAGTATATAAATAGTATAACGAAAATAAGATATCTGCTAATTTCACAATTTTGTCCTAGTTCATTTTATAATTAATAATGAAATTCATGCTAAGTATCAGACATGTTCTAGGTCTCTCATTAAGGCATCTCAGCTGCAGCTCTTGGATTAAATAATGGATCATTCAACATAAGAGAAATTACAAGATGCATGAGTATCTTTACTAATTCTGTTAACGTTCTAGAGAACAAAATACTTCCAACATCGTCTTCTGCCTCACTACGCATCAGCCATTCCTGTTTTGAGAGATTTTTGAACTTTTCTCTATCTGGAAATCTTGTTTAACAACAATTTTTCAAAATAAATTAGATCTGCTCCCTTCTGATGACATAATGGACTGTTATTAACTAAGTGTGGTAGTCTGAGGACATCAGGAACTGGCTTGGATAAAATGTTGTCTACATTAGGATAATACAATAAACAAATCAAATTATGTATTAAAAGAACAATGTCATCCAATATCTCAGCATACTATATAACTTGGTTGGAAAAATGCTAGAATTAAACCTATGCCTATTTACCTACGCTTATGTGGTGTTTTTAGGTCCTGCTCCCAGAAGAAGGAATTTCCTGAGCAGCCTGAAGTATTTTGGCAGTTTCAATGCTGTTTTACAATACTGTTAATTTGCCAAATCTGACGATACAGACAAAAAGACCATTGAAATGACTATCATACACGTGAGGACTCCTCTACCCATACTGCAAAGCACAAATCGTGCGGCAAAACACTCACCTGGACGTTACTGAAACAAGAAACGCGCAAATTAACTCGCAAAGTAGACGTTATTTGGTTATGACCGTGGGGGAGAGGGGTCGGGAAGGGGAACATTCCGCACTTGAACGTGACCGCCCCACGACCACCGCCCGCAGCCAGCCCGCGGTGGGTCACGGCCGCAGAAGGGGCCCCGG